GATTAAACTCACCGTTCCGTCTCTAAAGTCACAGATTAAACTCACCGTTCTGTCTCTAAATGATTGGATTTTTGTGTGTTCTCATCAGTTTTGTTGTTTGTCATTCATGAAGGATCACATAGAGATAAAGGTTTAAATAATAGGTGCTGGAGGCTCCTTACCTGGAGACTGCTGTGATTGGCTGAGTGATGTTGAGATTGGCCATGAAGCCTCGTTAAACTCTCGAGCTTCACGTTGGATGTTCCTCTGACCAGTCTGACCTTTGAAGTCCCTGGTGAAACACTGAAAAACACACAGTTAATACAGTTAAACTAGCTTGTCTCTCTTCAGCTATTAAAGTCTTTTATTGTCTTTCTTTGTTTTTTCTCATTGACAGCTTTTAGTTTTCTCGGTCAGATCACGAATGAAATGAAACTCACATCCACAGTTTGGCTGTCACTCGGGTGAACGACGACGGCCACCTCTCTCAGATGAAGAGGAGTTGTTCTGCGGCTGAACGAGTGGACCTCCCGCAGCAGGACTCTGGACACCACATCTCTGGGGAAGCGCAGGTTTCCCGTGCCGATGGCCGGGAACGACAGCGACGTCATCCGTTGATTCTCAGCCTCGTTCAGACAAAATCTGATGATGGACACCAACTCCTGAGACAAGGAGACGACACACGGGAGACGAGGAGTGGAATAAACTCTTATTAGCTTATTAGGTTCAATGAATAGACCTTTGACTGGAAGGTTGTTGGTTCAAATTCCCCCTGAACTACAGATCACATGTTGTGGAGCAGCAGTGAGATGCTCATTTACTGAAGTACGGTCCATAAATGCACATTTGAGGAACTTGGACTTGAAGTGTAACTTAACCCCCAGTTCTGAGCCTAAAGCGTGATTTATGCTTGCCGCATCCGCGAGAGTCCGCGAGTCTCCGCCCACATTTTCTATCTACTCACAAAGATGGGCGGAGAAAAAGGAGAACTTTGAGGAGCTTTGAGAATGTCGGTTCTGTTCGGTTTCCTCACAGAAAGTATAACCGAGGCTTTAGTCCACCCTAAGCATCATTTTGAAAAATGCAGAAATAAAGTAGGTAAGGGCTCTGATGAAGCCAAATCCACTTAATCCACTTCATGACGTAGACTCGTCCCAAACGGTCGACTCTATCTCAGAATGGATCTTGATAATGATTTAAAACAGTAGACGTCGTTTAGAGACATTTTCAAACATGAGATGATGATTTCTATAGATTTGGAAAGAAATGTCAATATTAACAACATTATGCAGTTACTCTGCATTTTTGTTTTAAGGCTGATTTTGATGTTAAACATGTCAGGGTGTTTTTGAATGAGGTTTCCTCCTCTGTAGTCCGTATCCGATGCTCAAAACATACATTTCCCATCAGCCCCTCACCTCCTCTGCCTGGCCGCCTCCGTTGTCCCAAGGCGGGCAGACGGCGTGAAAGACTTTCTGACACTTGAGGTTGAAGCCGTCGGTGACGATGATGTCGCCGTACGGCAGCGCGGACGCCCCGGCTTCAGACCAAACAGCTGACTGCAGGCCGGACCCGGCCTCCTGCAGGAGGGCTTTGGACACGGCTCCCTGTTTCAGGTTCATGTCCTCCGACATGGTGTTGACGATGGCGTCAGTCTGTTGACCCAAAATCACGCTGAAGTTTAGGACAACAACTGAAAGGACCAGATGGTTAATTCAAGACAACTCATTAGTCTAAGGTTATTTAAGTAAAATACAATAATATTTAATTTAAGTAA